TGGGGCTGGGTGGGAGCCGGCACCCCCTAGAGGGGACAGGCCCCTGCCCCATTCCCCACAACCCTGAGCCAGCCAGTCCCCACCCTGGGGCCAGGGGGGGAGCCGGCGTCCCCTAGAGGGGACAGGCCCCTGCCCCATTCCCCACCACCCTGAGCCAGCCAGTCCCCACCCTGGGGCCAGGGGGGGAGCCGGCGTCCCCTAGAGGGGACAGGCCCCTGACCCATTCCCCGCCCCCCTGAGCCAGCCAGTCCCTGCCCTAGGGCCGAATGGGAGCTAGCGTCCCCTAGAGGGGCAAGGCCCTAGATAGTGTATAATCCCCACACAAAGGCAGTTCCCCTTGTGTCTGTCCTCTCCCCATAGGGAGCTAAGCTGGTGAAGGATATGGCAGAGGAGGGGGATGGGTGTAGGACCTACATAATTTACCTGGGGGTTGCACAGTTCAGGAGGGCAGAACCTCCCCCCACACACACACACACACCAGAGGCAATCTCCCCCCCACACCCAGATCTCCCCTCGGCACCCAGCCCCCGTCTCACCTTGAGGATGAAGTCGGGAGGGGTCCCGGGACGCACTGTGGGTCGCATCACCCCATCGTGGTGGGAGTGGATCAATGTCTCATCCAGGTCCAGCACCAGGACCTTCCGCTTCACCTGGTCTGGGGGGGGGTGGGGGGGGAGAACAGGGAGCCGTCAGTCGCGGCCCCCAAACCCCTCCCCCAGCCAGCCCTGAGTAACCGGCATCAAGCCCCCCACCCCGCATGCTGCCCCATGGCAGGGACCCCGTCGGACCTACCTGCTGTATGGTTTAGATGCAACCCCCACCCCTTTGCTGCTCCTGGGCAGACACCCCCTCTTAACCCAGAAAATCTTGGGAGTCCCTTCTGCTCCCCAGCTCTGGGAAGGGAGTGGGGTCTGCTGTGTTAGAGCAGGGGGGCTGGGAGCAGGACTCCTGGGTTCTCTCCCCAGCTCTGGGAGGGGAGTGAGGGCTGGGAGCCAGGACGCCTGGGTTCTCTCCCCGGCTCGGGGAGGGGAGTGGGGGCTGGTGGGTTAGAGCAGGGGGGCTGGGAGCCAGGACTCCTGGGTTCTCTCCCCGGCTCGGGGAGGGGAGTGGGGGCTGGTGGGTTAGAGCAGGGGGGGCTGGGAGC